ATGTCAGGCAAGTGGTTGGCATGGTAAAGGAGGCAGGGTATGTCAAGCAAGTGGGTATGTCGGGCAAGTGGTTGTAATAACCATATGGGGAATATGCCGCAAAAGGCATGGTCAAGGAGGCCGGGTATGTCAGGTAAGTGGTTATAATAACCCTGGTTCACAACCCACAAAAGCGACGGAATATTGACAGGCGCCATCGGGTACCTCGGGGAAGTGGTGGTAACATGGTGAAGTACCCACAGAAGCCATGGTTGTAGGCAACCGGACTATCCGAGAGCCCAGAAGCAAGGATTTTCAGCCACAGAAAGCGATTGGGGACGTCAGGCAAGAGGTTGCAACAGCCTAGGGTAGCCCACAACCGCCATTCTGGGTGAATTATAACGACCTCACACGACCTCACCCTGGGACAAAAAGTCTCCGTTCAGTGGGTCATAACCAGACGACTTACTGCCCCTAGTGGCCCAATCCCATCGGGGCGAAAAAACGCGACTTCAGGCTCTTTCGGGGTTCCTTTTCAAGGGTCTCCTCTTGGGGGATTCGTTCCCTTTCAGCTTAACAATGCTGGAACACATTGCCAGACTTAGCCGTTCGCACTTTTCCTCCGGGGTTGTTATGATTCCCTGGGTCGGCCTGGCCAGACTTCCAACTCCAACTGTGTGCCCTTTTGGTGTTCCACCATTCTCCTTTTCAATTACCAAGTTAGCTTTTTGTAGGGGTAAGTCTGGCCAAGTTCTATGGCGAGCAAACCAGGTAACAAAAAGGGACCGCCCAACCAAGTAGTTTCAGCGTCATGGGCCTCCAAAAGCGGGCGCGTTTGAAGGGGACGCCCGCTGTAGGCAAAATCATTGACACTCCAGATGGGGCGTTCTGGGAAGCGGGGGGAGGCTATTTTAGGATCCTTTTGAAGCAAGGAACGAGAAACACACCATTTGTTTTGAAGAACCAAGTGTTTGCATAACGTGTTTCTCAACTTCTAGAATGCTTAAAGCTTTGTTTTGAAGCTGATTCAACACCTTTCTGGGGGATTCTCATGTCCACGGCGGATTCTCACTTCCGCAACACTTTGTCGTTTTAATAGTAAATCGTCAGCCACATTCAATGGACCTCCAAAGGCGGGGGGTGGGGAGCTATGGAGTGATGGGTAAGCCTAGCATAACCCAAGCAAAAGCCCCCAAGGCCTTGTTAAGGCTTCAATTGATGATAGCCTTCAACGAAAACTGCTTCCGGTCACTAGCCCCCCCCCCCCTCCCCCATTTTTTTTGCATTGGGGCAGACCAATCAGGTACGATGCAGAATCTGAAGATATTTATTCTAAAGGCAAGACTGTATGCGGGGAGCACATCATTTTGCCCGGGGCTCCTATTCACCCCTCTGGGTCGGATTGTTCCCTTGGGTTGGCAGATATCCGCCCTTGCGTTACCTGGGTTCTGGGCAGGCGCTAATTCAATGTTTGATTCCAGTTTTGATTCCCCCCATCTTTCTCTTTGATCATGCATTTTCGCAGGCCATTTTTGTGGAGAGACGGATTTGAGAATGGAATTGGAAGGTACGGCTACATTTGAGTCTGTCCTGTTTTGAGGGTACCCTCTTTAGGGTTGGTTTAAAGGGAATCCAAAGAAAAACCCGTCCTGGCAGCTTTTGGACTTCTTGGATTCCTTCCCCGCCTCTGATTTTGTTCTTGCGGGGTCCTTCAACATATTTTTTGGCTAGAAGGAAGTCAGGGGAAACCACGTGGCTAAAGAGCGAGAACGAGGGATGTTAAAACAACATTATAACGTCATGCTAGGACTAGGATAATAATGTCTGGCAGTGTGGAAACCCTCTTTATGGACGCCTTTGGGCATTCCGATGTTTTGGCTGGCTGTTAAAGGGGAGGCATGGTCTCTAAAAGGAAATCCGCATTTGGGCGAACGCCATTTGGATCCTGGGACGTTTCCTCGGGGATTTCCCTTGGAACTTGAGAGCGAGGCCTACCTCCTGCGACAGATGCCTACGTATGTGAGGACCTGAAGCAAGTCGGAACAAGCCCAGCTATCCCAGCTCTGATGGGTGTGTGTTTAATCTGAGGGTACCTTTTTGTTTTTGGGTGTTTTAAAGGGAAACCAAAAGGAACACCATCATGTTAGGGGTTCCCTTGAAAAAAAAAAAAAAGGAAAGACCCAGATTCGGCATCTTCGATCCAGCCAAGAAGCGCTTTAACTCGAGTTTCCTGGAGCTGGTGCGGACGCAAGTTTTAGACGTTTCACTCGGCTTTTGACCGATTCCGCCCCCTCGCAAGAGGGGCCCACGTGGAAGGAGGACCCTTTTCCTACAATTTTGCCGTTTCATTTGTAAATGGTAGGATGTAGTGTACAACCATTTCTTGATGGTTCCCAGCCATCCCCTTAGCTTTTTAGCCTTTTGGTGTTTAGTGGGGATTTGCATTTCACCCACTAAAAGTTAAACTTTCAGCGGGGGATCTGAGGGCAGCCCAGATTTGGGTCTTAAAGTGCAAGGATCAATGCACTGAGCCCTGCATCTACAGGTGCTTGAGCAACATGGTGCATAGGCCGTTTCCGAAGGGAAAGGTTGTTTTTCGCAAGGGGGGTTTCCATGTGCATGTGGCTGTGGGTCAAAACCAATGGAATCCCATTTTGGGGTAGGTGCACCACCCATGTGAGAGCCTATTTTAGTGGGGATTGAAATGCTCCGGGGGCTAACCGATTTGGGTTTGACCCATGTGGGAAGGTTTTGGCAATACCCCGCATCACCCCCCAGGATTCCACTGGAGCGGCGGTCCACCCGTTTTGACCTACACCAAAAAGTTGGTGTTTTTTTCCAAACATCTTGGCTGGTGTTACAGGCCAAATTAACAACCACATACTTGTTGATTATAATAATTTAATAATGTACTTTATTGCGCTAACATTTTCTGGGCAAGTTGCCTGGGTGGATTCTCTCGGGGGTTTCTCCTTTTTGGCGTGTCTTTTAACATGCTTTTGGGCTTGTGGCACGTCTCACTTCGTTGGGAGAACTCTCCAGAAAGGGCAATTGGCCTTGGACCAAGGGGAAGGGGGCGGAATCTGGGGGACATTTGGGGCCTGCGCCGTGCGCTCATTTGTCAGTAGACCATGCGGAGTTTTGCCCAAGACTACCTTCATGAACGAATGCCCAGAAACATACACTTCCATATGCCCGGAGCTGGGGTAAACCAAGCAGACTTCGCAAATCGGGCTGGGCTCAGCCGATTTCCAGCCTCACTCATGTCTAGGGCTTGCCCGGAGCGAAGCAAAAGATCGTAGCGCCTGGCAGTTGTTGTCGACGGTCAATTCGGGAAATAGGTCACACATGTTGCACGAGGAAGAGCGAGCTCACTGTTTGCGGTGAAACGCGCTCACCTAGGATGAAGGATTTGCATGAGGACATCAACTATCCAAGGAAAGCACAACGCGCATCTTGCCTGCCAAGCACAGCCAGGACACTTTGCTTGCATTTCACACTATCGCACATTTTGCTAAGCTCACAAAAGGCCAGTTTGAACAAATACCCCAGTTGTTTTAGTGTCACCCTCTGTTGCTTCGGTAGGATTCCAACTTAAAAGCCAACTCCCCAAACGCTTCCATACCGAACGGATCACTGGGCAACTGGAATATGTTTGCCCATTCTATTGCGAGCTCACCAATTCCCGGTGTGTGTGTGTGTGTGTGTGTGTGTCTGTGTGAGAAAGCGAGCTCACCATGACATTCGGTCCTTCAGCTGCCACCTTAGTTCGGGCTCAGTGTAAACTTTGCAGAGCCACTTCATGAAAAAGGGCATGTTAGTTGAGGCACGTTGAGGTCTCGGAGTCTTGGTTTTGTTTCAATGGAGGTCCGCGGGAGGTTCCTGAAGGGCCGACATACAGTAACATGGAAGCCAAAAAGCCGTGGCACCTCTATTTGGGGGATGGCCCAAAGGTTTCCATGTTTTGTGGAGAGTAATTAGAAGGGGCAGGGACTTTGAAGCCCATCGTCATTGCAAACTAGTTACTTTTCGGCCCCGAGAAATCAGCAGGACATTTTCGAGGAAAAGCATCAAAGACCAAAACAAAGACCCAGCGGGTTCTGTCGAACTTCGAGACCTCCGCCTCTGTACAGCACCAGCAGACGGCATGCGCGGTAGGCGCTGCCCCACACTATCTTCTGATTGGGCTGGGCCTGCTTGGCTGGGCCTGAGGCTAGTCTCAGACACGTCAGACAGGCCTGGCCAGCAGGACGTCATGCTTTTCAGGAAAAACTGTTGTTGCTGAGGTAGTGCATTTGTGACAAAAATTGTGGAACGCCGCGATAATTTCAAGGCCCGCCGGACAGAATGATCTTGGGCCAGCAGACATGAGGGGGAAGGGGGAAGGGGAGAAGTGCAGTTCTCTTTTCAAAAGGGGTCTGAGCGCCCTTGGCGCTTTTGGGGTAAGGGCACCAAGGCGAACTAATAGGGTGGGGGTCCCCTTTGAGTGTGAATTCATGACGTTTACAGCGAACACCCCCCCCTATAAATAAAGCGCAGGAAATTAATAGGAAGGGCTGATTAATCCAGGGTGAACATTACCCCTCAGCTGGTGGTCTGGACTCGGCTTTCTTTTGCAGCCAAATGCGGGATCCTTCTTCCAAAATAATAACTTCCTTCCAGCACCCCCCCCCCCCCCGAAAAGCTGCTTTTTGGGTTTTGGACACGGGAAAACACAAATGGTGGGTGGGGGGGGGGCTTTTTTGCAGCTTCAAAGGTTTTCTACATGTGTGCTTGATGTGTCCTAGTGGGACCCCTGTTTTTTCCAACGTTCCCCTTGCTGAAAATTTCTCGAGATCGTCCTGATGTAGCATATGCCATTCGAGCATGAGCAAGCCCACAGTTGCGGCTTACATTCACAGTTGGTGCATTTGGTCGGGTGTTTGGAAGTTTCCCGTCATGACATATGCCATGAAGTGGGTTATCAAAGGCCCCGCGCACTTTGGGAAGCGTTCGCAGCTGCTCTTTTCGGCGGAGTCAGCCGTTGGGCTCGGAGCGCGCAGTCGGCAGAACCAGTTGCGAGCTCGGGGTAAAGCGAAGGGTTTGCCCTTTGGTTGGTGAGGAGTTACTTGCGGGGACCCGGAGTTTATCCTCCGGAGCCTTCCATTTGCCGAGAAATTTGGGAAATGGAGCATGGCTCGTCCTCGCCATGCTCCGAGCCGCTGGGCCACGTTGAGGAGCTTGATGCCGTTGAGAGTTTGGCGGTGGTAGCGGATTTTCTCGCTGACATGCAGGCGATTGCGCCGGAGCTGCTCGGAAACCCGAAAGCGCTCACCGAGTTGTGGCTCGGGGAACCCTTGCTTGATGTAGGAGGGGTAAATGGGGTTTCCCCCTAAACCACCAAACCCTTGGATTGGTTTTGGAGTTGGATTTGAAGCCCTTGATGTAGGAGGGGTAAATGGGGTGAAACCCTGAACCACCAAACCCCAAACCACCAATTAAAGGGGTTTCTGAGTCGCGGTTGGAAATGTCCATTTTCGAAAAATCCACGGCGAATCCTAGTTGACCTTGTTCATCTAGGGCCGTCTATGTTCAACCATTTTGGGACATTGGGTTTTTAACTTTCGGGCTCAAGCAGCTAAAAAACGGAACGCCCACGAGGGTAATGGAAAACGACGAGGAGTGAAAAGTCCCAACTTTTACAGGCGTTTGTTTTTCTCCGGGAAGGGCCCCGCGTTTTACCTTTTTACTCACTCGAGTTTTTGAACGTCATACCTGTTGGACATCCAATTTCGGGATATTTTGGTGGCAAGCAAGTTGGACGTCAATGGGGCAATCCACCTTCAGTGAGGTTAATTTAGGTAAACCTCACTGGGTGGATTGCCCCATTGATGTCCAACTTGTTTGCCGCCATTGACACAACAGCTGCAAGTTCGCCGCCCAAAGCTCACGTCTCCCAGGTTCGAGCGGGCGGTTACGGCGGGAAGGGCCCTGGCGTGCTTCGCGCGGGCCTTGTGGGCCAAGGACAGGCCGCCAAGGTGTGTGGTTTGTTTGGACCCCGTTGGTTGAGGTAACCCTTAGTTGCCCAGTTGTTCAGCACAACTTTCCATTTATTTTTTTTTGGGGGGGGCGGTGGCTGCCCCACTAAAAATGGTCTTCCCCAAAAAGAGTTCCCTTTTTTCCAGGGTCACTGAACAACTGAGCTTGGTTTGGATTGGTTTCTTGGCTCAAATGGGTTACATGTTGGATCACTTCCTTGCATTTTTTTCTTCCCAGCCTTGGCTCCCAATTTTTTCTAGGGCCGCTGGGCGGGCTTCCACAAAGGGGCGTGGTATATCAAGGGTGGGGTGGTCTGGGGATGGAAACCATATGGGTGTGGATCAAAATTAAACAGGGGGGGCAAACCGCAGGTTTTGGAAACCATGCCACTTACCAGGGCAAGCCATTTTGGAATTCCGTGTTTTGTTGAGCCACAGCCATCTTAGAAAGACGCTGTGAGGAGCTTCGCTACCACCAGAGCTTCAGAAGCGCGACCCCTCGCCAGACTTAAGCTGCCTTTTTGTCCAGTTGCCCGTGAGGGGAAGGTTTTCCCTAAAAAAACAACAACCCAAAGGGTCCCTTTTTGAGCTCATCTTTTGTGAACAAGTTGCTGGCCTGCTGGTTTTCCTTCAAACCAGCAAAGGAAAGGGATAAGGCAAAGTTCTGCAGACATGTTCTGAGAAGTTCTTGTAAGCGGGTTCTAAGAACCTTTCCACCTCAGGGCGGCTTTTGAGGAAAAGCCCCCCCAAAGCAGCCTCTGCGCTTCTTTTTCTCCGGCCCAGGAAGATGGTCCAAGACTTCTGGTCCCACTCTTGGAGAACGCCGGCGTGGAAGAAGGTGGGGCTGCTCCTCTTCTGGCACCGTGGCCGGATTCGCGCCCGCGAATTCGACGCGGGGATTCGGAGCCATCGGATTTAAACAGCTCTCACGTTTTGCAGGTTTTCACTGGTCTGCCAGTTGCTTCCCGTTTGAACTGGTTGATCCTGTTCCTTCATTTTCCCTATCCACAAGTACTCTGGCTCATCCTTATGGAGTCCGGAGGGCTCTCACACGTTTCCCTTTCCAAGCGGCAAGCAGTTCCCCACTCCGGGACATCCTGGGACTTGCAACCTGGGAAAGTGAGACGCCACGGCGCCACGAGCCACGTACTAAGTGGCCCGGAAGTTCGCACAAGTCGCTACATCGAATTTCTGGGCAACTCCCCGAGTGCATTTCGCGGGCATAGAATCTGGGCGTGGCACGCCGGGCCGGCTCTCAGGTACAACGGCAACGTTGCCAACCTGGCGGGGACCGTGGCTGCGCTGGCCATGTTCGTGCTGTGCCTCTTGGAAGTGCTGCCAGGACGGTGGATGGGCGGCGGGTCGTTTGAGCTGGTGCCCTTTGGAAGTGGTTCGCACCCAAAACACCCTGACTTGCCACAGGGCTCCTTAAAAGATACATTTGCAACCATTTGAAACATGTTGCTTTTTCAACACCAAAGTAAAGGGACACCACCATTTACAAGGCAATGTTCAAGTGTATCATGTAAGGATCCCTGAGCCAAACAAGCCAAGGAACCGCACCAAACAGGGTGCTGTTGTGGGTGCTGGGTACCCACAACAGCACCCTGCCTGCATCGCCAAAGAAGCACCACCAGCAACCGCCACAGCACCTTGAGCATCCCAAACAACACCCTGACCTGCACCTGCAGCACCAACCTGGCCCGAGCTCGCAAAACAGCCTGCCCCCCTTTAGAAGTAAGCACGAATATAGTCTTAAAAGACACTGAAATGGTGCTTTGGGCCCCGTTTCTGTAATCTTGCTTATTGACCACCTGGGCGAGAAAATAGTCATAAGGCTAGGATTCCCACTTTGGTATCACAGATGTCGGGTAATTTGCCATGCGGGCCCCAAACGCCTGTTTACTAAAGGGGGACTCTAGGTGCTTGGTTGCCTTCCAATTTTCACTCAGACATCCAAATCGGGAACGCTCCCCATTTTGAGACACACACACACACACACCCTTCCTCCCAGTGAAAATGGTTTTGGAGGAGCCTTTCTACAACGGATCCCCAACTTTTCGGTACGATAGAATTCCGCTAGAAAACACGAGAGGGAGGCCATTTGCCGACCCCTTTGCCTGATACCCAGACGCTCCAATTCGATCAATTTAGGACCCTCAAACAGCCGGGTTTGAGTCCCCCAAACACCTCCGGGTTGTCTAATGGGTCTTCCATTAAAAGCCCCAGGAGCCTCTGGGTAGGCAATTTCTTCGGGTCTCGCGGCCTCCTTCTTCGGGCCCCGGGCCGGGAGGATACCTGAAGCAGCCGTGGACCGGGGAGACGCGTGAATTGCCCTTCGGGGTTTGGAGCATTGGCACTGGGCTGCTGGTGCATGGCGTCTTCCTGATCTTTTATTGGTGCCGGAGGACGGTGTGGCTGGACTGGATATGCATACATCAGGGGAATGAAGAGAAGAAGATGCAAGGCCGGGGACATTTTCGGCAGATAGGTGTCCCGCTTCGGTGACACCGTGCAAAGTTGAGCCATGCTCAAAACCCAGGAAATTGCAGCGTATGGGGCAGTCCTCACCACAAATGGGGGCATCTCCCTTTAATGTTCTCACATGGCCATGAATTTAAATAGGGAACCACCTCAAAAGTGATTGGTGGACATGAATCCCCAGCTACATGATGTCCACCAAAGGGTCCCTTATGCAAATTCATAGCTACATGGATTTGGGCAGCCCATGTCATAAGTTGTTATTGCAATCTCACGCTTGAAGTTGGTAATGATCCTCTTAGCTTTCAGCACCCTGACGAGAGGCATCCTGAGCCTTGGAGCAAACATCAGGAATTCAAAGAACATGCTGATCTTGTGGGACGAGACGTGGATTGATACTTGGCCCTGAAGAGCGAGAGAGCATTTTACCTTTTAACCTTTTGATCTTCTCGACAATGACGATTTCCCCACTAAGCTTTGTATTTGGTGAAAGTGGACGGCGCAATCCCCCCTATTTCGGTTGAGCTGTTCCCTTTTTACTCGCCCACATAAAGGGAACAGTGCCATCTACTTTCACCCTGGTCGACTAAAGCTGAGTTAGAGGGTCTAACTGAGACCTGACCCAGCTGAAAGGGGGATCCCCCAAAATGGTGGGTTTTCCTCTTAGTTTTCCTTCAAGAAAAGATTGATCCATCCCTCATTTTCGTTCGGTGAAATCTCGCCGAAGATTGACACCAAGGATCGCCTGTGGTGTGTCTTTGAGCTGTCGGCCTTTCTGAAGAGCCACGGGAGGGAGGCGAAGCATCACATCACGATTCTGCCGAGCCTCGCCTTAATTCGCTGGCTCGCGAAACATGCTCACCGGGCGGGTTTTGCCCGAAGGGGTGCAAGGGGCTCGGGAACCGCAGGTGCTTTTCTTGCATGCTGAACCCACGGACTTGATGGGTTAGAACTCGGTTGCCCAAAGCGAATCGACCGCTTTTACCCTTTGGTTTTCACGTCTTGGCGCATATTCAGTGGCCCCAACAGGTGATCGCCCGTCAATTCCAGGTCCTTTGGGCAAGTGAGCACTGGCATGGCTGGTTAAGTTACCCCGCGAAGAGCACCCGCGGTTTCGCGAGACTTCGAAGCAACAAAGGAATGGCCAGAATTCCCACCTCTTGACTGGAAGTTAGGCTTAAACTCAGGGGTTTCCCTGGTCACTGACGGGTACCCTGCAGGAAACCGCCTGTTGCCCATTGGGGGTGTTGAGCAGGGCCGTGGTGATTTTCGCGGCGGCTCCTTTGGAATCGCGCCCGCGATTCGGCCTTTGAATCCAAAGGCGGAGGGCCTTGGAAAAACGAAAACCGTTTTTTTCTTCTTCCAAAAACAACCTACATGGTTGTGCCTTTTTGTGCGGGGGCTCACTCGAATGCCTGCTTCTCATATGCGCTTCTCCCTTGAAAGACCGAGTCCCCCCCAGAAAAAGACACTCCTGACGCGGCAAAGAACAGTACACCTGCAAAACAGGAAAGCGACCTTTT